CCCCCCCCCCCGTCCAATTTACTCCCCGCGGGGACCCCCTTCCGTGCAAAAAATTGCTCCCCGACGAACACTAGCGTGTACTATTGACTTGGCTCGGTTGTCATCGAAGATAGCGGTGTATGACTATGACACTGCAGGCTAGGCTATGATGTTGCAGTTTCCTGCGGATGTTCATGTTATGACTCTTTATCCTCCAGTCCAACGATAGAGATTTATTTGCGAAATGTGAAGATGTTATACACATGTATGCATTGTGATTCGTAATGGCATACCTTAACATATAAATAATGAAATGTTATCTCGCATTTCCTGGAAGTTTATCTCGCACTCCCACAGGATGCGGAGCACTCGTGGTTGCGAAACCCTGAACTATAGAACAAAATCTGATTGTGGTGCCCATATACAAGGCACTCAATCGGCACTTATATGCAATGCAAAAGTCATAATTTCTCGCCTAATTACTCAACAAAAAAAAACCCTCAGCACCGCCATTTTCCACTTCAACGACGCTCTTAGCAACCACTCGTTCGATAGCAACCGTTTCTTATTTGACCACTCGATCATGAATGCCCGTTTCAATCGGTTATCGAACAGAACCATTTCGCACTGATTGTGAGATCATTTGAATTATTTTGAAAGATTAGGCTGCATCAATTCTTGTTATTCTTTTGCTTCAACTACCAATCGAATATGTTTCTGGTTTCTGAAACGAGGCTGTGGAGCGAATTTTGAATTATTTCTCGACTATAATGAAGCAATCACATTTCATTTCACAATCACATCTCTGAAAATAATGAAAGAAAACCATCATCGAACGGAGTCAATGGGGCGAAAATTTACGGGCACAAAATCGCTCTAACACATTCCTCCATTGTCAGTCCGAAAGGTGAAATCAGCGCAATCGCACTGCATTCTTTTTTTTGCAAATCCGAAATCTGACTGAATGTGAGTAACAACTCATCACACTTGTCGAATTTCTAACTCATTCAAAGGATGTTACTGATGCTTTTCTCGCTTATTGCTGCTGGTGTACAGCACTCTCAAGCTCCTATCTTGATATATTTATAGATGTCCGAAAATAATGAATATCGTGAGTTGGCATGTAGCAAACCTCGACCATCGAAGTTTAGCCTTCTCAATGCTTGCTGTACTTAGATGTGACATCACAGCAACGATGCTGTACGATCATGTGCAACGAATGCAGACGATTTTGCAAGATGACTTTGACTTTCATAGATAATGTTCAGTAAACATTTGGCGTGAAATCAGCAAAATGTGCTTTAAACTTATGAACAACTAGAGTCTTTCATATTATAATTTCTTTTAATCAAATTATCACATTTGTGTAAATCAACCCTGCAAGCAATGAAGAGAAGAGAAAAACATAAAGGTTCGCAGGAAATGACCATGCAATAAAAATTATTATTAATAGGGGCAATAACCCAAAACTTTAGCAGCTGAACTGGTGATGAAGATGTTCAAACGAACATAGCAAGTGTTTTTTTGCATGTTCTGCTTGCGAATATATTGGTGCGAAATTCCGCGCTTTGACTGAATTGTTTTGTAGTTAATTAGATGAGTTTATCGCATTCGTTCATTTTTTGTTCCCATTTGCACTGCATTTTTGAAATGATGCAATCCGATTTGAATAAACAGAATACCAAAAAACTTCGCTCAGCAACAATACGGAGGCCGTATGAGTGCTGAACCTTGTTTATGACGTTTGTGTTTTCTTCGGAACTTTTCCGCTCGCTGCGATATTACCAAGTCCCTGCTGTCAAAGCTACTTACCTCGCTGTGCCTATGGTGAATGAAAGTATTACTGCATTATTCGCAATGAATCAGTTCCGTGTATCCTGAAACAATGGTCCTAAAACTAAAGTTTTATCCATTTTCACCTATTCATAAAATCAATTTTGAAATCGAATCGTTAATGGTTAAGAAGAAAACATTTGTCACCAAATATTTCGACTTGACCAACAATAGAGTGATTAAAATTTTATTGAGTTCATTGTGACATATTTTTGTTGCACCTGTCAAGTCACTGAAAAGCTGCGATTTCATTGGTTTTGTGGAGTGTTCGAGACGTGTCAAAATCATGTTAAAAATGTATCTTAAAACAAAAACACTTTGTTTGATTAGGTGTTGGAGTGTTCAGTTGCTGACGCGAAATATTATTGTCGTGTCGTTGTCGGGTAAAATGTACCATTCGGATGTAATTTTTCAAGATGTTTGTAGAAGACGCACGTTGTATAGAACCGAACGATATGAAATAATACAATGAGGCATTCATTTGTAGATCGCGCAGAAGTGCGATACACCAATGAATATCTTCATGCAGTATGATCACCGCACTGAAATAAACACAAAATTGATTCGCTTTTTTATCAGTCGACAAAACTGATGACATAAGGCATGCATCCACATATTCTTCTGCGCAATTTGTTGCTGAATAACCTTCCTTTTTGTTAGATGCTCTAATTTTTCGTTGTTTCGAGAGCATTCCCAACTCATCTATTCCGAAACTTCCGTCCCTATGTATCTTATTTTATTCATTGGATCAATGTCGTTTGTTCATTTTCTATCTACAGATAATCAGCATAAAATGCAACTATCAATGGAATTGATGACCAAATAAAGTCGAGATTATTTTGATTGACTCGTGTTGGCATGTGACTTTCAAAACAACACTTTTATAATCACAATCAGGTAATCGAATTGCAGTCGATCACTTGCATGTTCCAGTTTCAACTGATCAACATATCAGCGGTGCAGATCAAATCTGATTTTGAAAGCATGAATTTCTAACAAGGAAAAACAATCTGAAACTAATCCCTACGTCAGAAGACCTTTATATATTCCTTGGTTCATTGTTTCAACTCTAAACGAACGCTATCTAATCGTTATGAATCAGACATTCACTACAGGAAAGGTATCTTGCTTCCAATGTTATCCTAATATGAATGTTATATCATTTGTTAGCCTTCACGTGAACAATTCTTTGTTACATTTTGAACATAAGAGTTGGCTATTCTTCAAATATGAACCAGATTCCGGGTAACGAGATCGCCAAGAAGATGGTTTATTTGACTGCTTTGGATACAGTTTTAGATTCATCGATGAACCCAGTGCTTAAGGGAACTAATTACGACGCCAAATCATCAAAAGTGAGGAGATATACATCCGAAAAACACTCATTAGAATTTGACTGCACTAAAATTGCTCAACGAGATGAGAAGGGATAAAATGACAGCGAAATGATCTCGAACATCGCAAGATATGTCTGTGAGGGGTAAATTAATTGCAGAGAGTGACAATTCGCTTTGCAAAGTCGAATGTTTGCAGAATAGGATATGGCTTCATAGTGCGTTTGCTTGTCAAATGATGATCATTTTCTAAACACGTTCTTTGTTATATTCGCTTATAAATCAATTTTTTAGGTGCGTCAAAGTGATACCGAAAAGCTCCAATGAGTTGCCGCTTCTCGACCGGTTCGGCAAATCATTCGGATATCATTAAATATTAATAAATAAACCTAGAGATTAACTCCAATTGACTGAAATACAAAAACAGCGGTAAATGAACAAATGTGAATGTGTTTACTGCTAAATAGAATCTGTTGCGAAGCAGCAATGCATTCGAGGGTTATTGAGGTATTACCAAAATGCACAACACGATCAGCATCACTAAATGTTAACACTCAAACATTTCATCAAAAGGTTCATCGTATCGTGCTCGAACATAAAGCAGTTGCAACGACCCCGAGCAAGTTCCATGAAATTAATTACCAGGTCATAATCACCGAACCAAAGCACCCATAATTCTCACTTTCTATAATGTCAAATTTGCCTATTTATTTCCAGTTTCAGGTTTCAATCTATGATTGATGTTGTGTTTCTGATAACCGTTTACGCTTCCATCAGTGCGGTAGGTTTTTTGAACGAGGGATATATGTTTTAGCAATAAATAACGCGATAATACGATCGGTTAACGAAGAATGGGGAATGAAATTAATATTGCGTTATGAATGGTGAACACCATCCATAAACATTCACAATCTGGAAATGAATCCACTTTTGGTGGATACAATAGCAAAAAACGGAACGAGGAAAAACATTACGAATGAGTGTCGGGTGCAGAGAAGAGTCCAATGGAACAACAAACTTGTTCCTTATACGATCAACATATTCCTTTTGTTGCCTTTTTTTTCAAATCTGGCACTTCGTTTGTTCGGTCATCGCAAATGCACTCAATCGTTTTCAAGATGATGAGAATTTTTTTTTGAAGCAACACCAATTTCTCCAGTGAAGAGTGTTCGTTTAGAGAATCAGGAAACGAAGGAAACGAAAAATATTGCATTGATAGCGAATTGGATCTGTGATAGTCGTAATATAACTTGCCAACTAATAAAGGATATGTCTTTTTTTTAGGGTTGTCCTTTAGTCATGTTATCCTTATCTCCATTTATATATAAGATGAGATTTTCATCGTCCACCTCAGTGCACAATTCATCTTGAGTTGCCGACATCAATCGACTCGGTTTAAATCGTACGATTCCATTTTTGAGTGTTATTGCGAGCAGTCAATTAGATTCTGATCTCTTTCAACACTTATAGATTTCATTAGTACTGACACTGACGCAGATTCTTGTGAATGCTTTCATTTTAGAATATTGAACTGTTAAGAGGGCATCGTGATTCCTTGAGTAGGGCATACGCTATATTAATGTTTTAAATTATTTGTAGCACTAAAGTATTTGAGTAAAACCGTTCTCTTCCTACTCAGCTGCATTCACCGGTACGACCTAGTGATGTTCGTTTCGAGCCTAGTCTTTCATTTGACTTCATACGACTACGATGTCCCTTACACAGTACTGCCATTCTTCACAATCACTGAAATTATTAATATGTTCGGCACTTGAAATAGATGAACACTTCATATCATTTTCTGCCGAAAATGAGTCCTCTCCAAAGTTCTCTCACAACAATATCGAAATTCAACGAAGATTTTGGACCGACGCGGAATCAAATGCACCCCTTCAGATCTCATCGGATCCTCAGAGCGCAGTGTGACCTCAGTTTTTAGTATTTAAGTCGGCTTTTTGCTCTAGTTGTGATACACTTCTTACGCATTTTTCGCTATCAGAGAAATTTAGAGAGGACTCATTTTTCGTTAGCTGTCGATGCGTAGATAATTGAGAAAATATTCGTGACACATAGAATGAATTTGGAAAGGATTATATGATATCTGGAGAGATGTCTTTTGAGGATGTACGACAAACAGGACAGGGAAGCCGAATGCAACAATCTGCGACGAGTGGCGTTCATTGGGGTCGCAATTTCGACAGTTGCAACGTTGATTTGTGCTATCTCAGTGCCAATGCTCTACAACTACATGCAACAAGTACAGTCAGTTATGCAGAATGAAATCGATTTCTGCAAGTTACGTTCGGGCAGTATCTGGAGAGAAGTCACAAAAACACAGGTTCGTTTAAAAGGATCGCTCTTTTTTCACAGCTCAACAAATTCTCAGTCAATCACATTGCAGAAGTACAACACTGTTACCATTCTGTATGAGAAATGACAAAAATTTGTAGGAAACATTGAATCATAGAACTTTCGAACGAAGTATATATTGCAGATGCTAGCAAATACCGCTAGAGGAGTGAGGATGGTTCGTCAAGCCGGCTATGGGGGCCCAGATGCTGCAGTTGAAGGCGTAGAAGCTGTTATTGAACAACCATCGTCGGGATCATGTTGCGGTTGCGGAGTCGGTGAAGCAGGCCCACCCGGACCGCCAGGGCCGGATGGTAAAGATGGTCCAGATGGAGAGCAAGGACCACCAGGAAAAGATGGCGTTGACGAGGCCCCAGCCGGAGCAAACGCATCTGCACCCGCCGAACCATGCTTCGAATGCCCAGAACCTGTTCCTGGTCCACCTGGAAATCAAGGACCTAAAGGAGAACCAGGAAAACCTGGACCGATGGGTCCAGATGGTCCCGCCGGAGAGCAAGGACCCGTTGGGCCTGCAGGACCCGCCGGTCCGGCTGGACCACCTGGACCTGCAGGTGAGAAAGGACCAGCCGGAGAGCCGGGTAAAGTTTTGGAGGCAGAAGGCCCAGAAGGTCCACCTGGTCCTCCAGGACCACCGGGTCCACCTGGACCAGACGGACCACCCGGACCAGCTGGAAAACCAGGCGAAGATGGACCTCCAGGTCCACAAGGAGAGCCAGGACCGGATGGTCCAGCTGGAAAACCCGGCCCAGATGGAGAACAAGGACCACCTGGCGAATCTGGATCGCCCGGTTCATGTGATCATTGCCCAGCGCCAAGAACAGCACCTGGCTATTAAATATGGCTTCCTTGAAATTGCAACTGTTGTATACTTGAATTATTTTATCTGTTCATTGTGCCACAAAACAAATATTTTAAACTATTGATGTATTTGTTGCGGATTCCATAAGATATATATAATTCGATCGATTTGTGATAAAGAAACAGTGATTGTAAGTTACGGGCCACTTAATTTCTACAAAACTGTTGACTGGTGATCGTATATTTTGACTGTGCATTTGAAAGCCTCAAATAAATTATGGCTGTATCAATATGAATATATTCATAGAACCAACTGCGTTTGCAATGGACTTGAGTTGTTCGATGTTTTTACAATGACACCGAATTCATCTTAAATATGCCATCTCCATCCATTACCAATCTTCAAGAACAACAAAAAGCAAATCCAGTTTTCTTGTTCGTCAGCAAAATTCACTTGAGGAGATCAATGAGCAAATTGACGAGTTTATGATTGACATTTTCGACATCTGTTTTGATTGCACGTGGTGAGCAGATAGCGTTGATGCAAACATTTGAAGAAGCGTGAATTCATGTCAATCATTAACATTGAAGAAAATTGATTTGAAGTTGTAAACCACGTATGCTCACGTGATTTCTGATGCCATAAAGAACATTATTTGCGTTTCAAACACCACTCAAAGCGATATTGCGCAAAATCATCAAATTTTAAAATTTCAATGCCGCAACTTATAGGGAATTTGCATTCAGATTTGGTTAAAAGCAAATTTTCTCGATAATTAGATGCCTATATAAATGCTTCGTGCCAGCCATAGTACACTGTTCATTTTCTACGTACGCAGGTTGGTGGTGCAGTCTGCGCAAAAATGCCGAAGAAGGGCGAATCGGAGGTACTGTGGATTGTTTATGGCTGTGATTATACTGGTTTATTTAATCGGAGTTTTGAAATGAACGGCTGCTTGACGGTAATCGAAGATGGGAGTTTCATGGAATGTGTTTCACGGGAGCACAGCAGACAGAATTGACTGCTGAATATAGTGAGGTTATCGCCGGTGCGAACAGTACGATTCTGAGAGATGTGTCAAACTATAATTGAATCAGAAGTCGTGCTGCTTAATCATCTCGAATGAGTTTCGCCTCGTGCTCATGATGTTATGACCAGTGATCACTGATATAAGGTATTGGTTGAGTGATAAAAACAATATCACAGACTAGTTGCAATTGGTGCAAAAATCATATTGAAAGAATGGGATTATGATTGATTGCCATAAAAAGCTACGGGGAACAGTTCGAATTCATTAGCTCTATTCAGCCGTGATACATCGAAGTTCATGTCATATTGCCGAGTGACCATCACTTGAAGCTGAAACTTGTAATCACGGAGAAGTGAATAAATCAGTGATTCTACTGATTCGAAGGATGAATTCCGAGATTGCTCCGGATTTCGCGCACTATCATCCACCATTTCGGCTGTATTGGTAATTCGAAAGGGGCGGAAGGCTTGAGGTTCTTGTTCCGCTTATGTGAGCGGCTTGTAGTGAGGGAGATGCAAGTGATTTCAGGACGACGATGATGTTTCGATAACTGATGACGTGAGAGGTGCCGATTATTACCATGGACTCATTCCAAAGACCGATGTGGAGCCACTTTTGAAGAAAGAAGGCGATTTTTTGCTGAGAAAAACCGAGTTAAAGCCTGGTATGTTTTCTTGGTCAAATTTTCATACCAATTTGCCATAATTATTTCTTTGATTATAAGAATTAACAAGGATCCACTAAGAAAGCGTGATTCGACACAACTAGATTGCTTAGAACTTAATGAATAGAGATATCGTATGAAAGTTGAGATGTTTTATGGACGTTTTCACTAGGCGAGATCGTATTGGCCATATCGGTCCGTCACGAGAATGGTGTTCGTCATTTTATGGTGAATCAAGATGCAGATGGAAGCTTCTACTGTGAACATCATCACGAGAAGAGTGTATCAGATCTAGTTTCATTTTATACCACTACAAAGACGCCTCTTTCGTCATCGAGTGGAGTTCGCTTAAAGCGTCCAATTGAAAGACCACAATGGCTTCTCAATCATGACGCAATTCGTTTGGTCAAGAAACTCGGTGAGGGAGCGTTTGGTGAGGTGCGATCTCGTAGATTATTCGAATGATCCTTATGCAATGAACTGTCATCATCGACAGTCACATGCGTTTACCTTGATATCTGGAAGTAAATTTGTTCAATGCAACCATTTGTAACGTTTTAATGCTCTTGTTCATCAACTGCATTGATATTGATTTCGACAACTTTGGCGGCGTCGATTCTACCAAATTTTTAGGTATTTTTGGCAGAGTACTCGACGGCTGGTGAAACGGTGCAAGTAGCAGTGAAAACAATGCGTGAAGAAGCAACTCGAGAGGCGAGATTGAAGTTTATGAAAGAGGCGAGACTGATGAGACGTTACGAGCATAAACATGTGGTACGCATCAACGGTGTGGCCGTTCATGAACATCCTCTTATGATCGTTATGGAATTTTGTCCGGGTAAGCGCTAATAATTTTGTTCATGCTTGACAATTTCAAAGAATTCAAGTCAAAATTGAAAATTTTAACCAACCATAATTTTGAATCGAATTTTCGTGGTTATAAAATTGAAAAAGGATATTGAAGGTGGATCGCTACTATCACATCTGCGAAAAGAAAAGGGTAAATTAAGTACCGCAACGAAACTACGTTTTGCAACTGAAGCTGCCGAAGGAATGGCATATTTGCACAAGCAAAAATGCATTCATCGCGATATCGCCGCGAGAAATGTACTTCTAAGCGCTAAACAAGAAGTGAAAATCAGTGATTTTGGTATGTCGGATGATAAGTTAATTGTTAAAGACGATAAACTGGATAAGGTTTGCGTTTAGCTATCCACTCATGTTCATAGCATTCGGTTTCCTGAACCGTATCAAGCGGTTCAATTCTTTCACTATCCCAATAATTCTGAACCGTCGAAATACGACCTAATTTTGATAGAGCCCAGTGTTACGTAATGTGGGGTGGAAACTCGGCGTGCTTTTCACTGGAAAATTTCCTTACAACATCTCAAAGCAAGGAATAAGTTTCCTCAGCGTAGACTCTGTCGCTGGTTGTATTATACATTGTAAGAAACGGAAAAGACCCGCTGTTGCAGAAAAAAGCATTAAGCGAAAGTGTTTAGAGAGCTGGAAGCATAGAGGTTGACACCGTATAATTGCAAAAGGAACTTCTTTTTTTGAGGTACCAGTGAAATGGCTTGCACCCGAAACAATGCAACAGAAAGTTTATTCGAATAAAACGGACATATGGTCGTTTGGGGTACTCGTCTGGGAAATCTATGCAGAGGGTGCTGAGCCATATGCTGGATTTACGAATCTTCAAACAAGAGCCAAAATAGTAGCACAAGATTATCGTATGGAAATGCCTAAGGTAAACAACTGTATTTGCTCAATATGTTCAGCGGCTATCCTAAATGACCTGTAATTCCAAAAACCATCCTCAACGGATTTAGCTCGAACTCCTTTTGCTTCTTCTGAACAGACTGACTAACATGAACGTTTTTATGTCTGAACTGACACCTCGTCTGAACTAAAACTAGAATATCATCAGTTACATTAAAGATGAAAGATGAAAGATTCAGAGATGAAATCAGGGAAAACTTTATTATTGCAGGATACACCCGCATCAGTCACAAAATTAGTCGTTCATGGATGTTGGGCCAAAAGTCCGAACGATCGACCGGAATTCTCCAAAATTGTCAAGACTCTCAAAGCGAAATAGTGATTACTGAATGTGATATCGTAGTGGACAGTAGCAGAAGTGCAAAAGTAATCTATTGTGTCATCATTGCATAGAGTTACTAATCTTCTCCTCCTTGATACTTCGATATTTTATTTTTGAGAACTGGAATATCAAACGCACATTCAACATGTCTGTGTTCTTTTGTGTATCATAATGGATCGATAAAATGTAGATTTTGATGCGTTATCGCCCGTGAAAATGGCTGCCTCTCGACTGTTCAATTCAGATGCATCGTAGACGCTGGTGCCATCACTTGAGACACTTGATGACAACTCGGTGTGACCAGCGATTATCGGTTGAGAATACGAATGAAAAGGAATTTTAGGGACCCAGTATGGTGATGCAAACAATTGAGATTCTGCATCGGAATCTAGCTCTGAATGTCATCTTGTTTCGCTTCAGACAATAAGAAATCCTTATTGTTCTCATTGAGGTGACATTGGAATAGTAAAAATATTCGATGAGTACTTGTTCAATTGCATAAAAAATACGTATTAAAAAACAGTTCTGCTCTGGTCACAAGAAACAGTGAGCGAAAATGGCGCATAGCTATAAACGATAAGCTAAACTTAAAAATTCACGCGCAAATGAGCACAAGGAGAAATAATTTCTACTGAAAATTTTTTCCATGTCACTATTTTCTTCTTCTCCTGGGTCCAAGCATTTCTTTCCCTTTCACAGTCACCTGCATTGGGCGGATGCATGTATATGCGAGCGAGCGTTGGATAAAGTATTTCCATTCGTATGAATAACTGTAACTTGTTCCAAAAATTTGCAACTGCTTCATCGGTTTTGTTAGTCTTGTGATGAATTCATCTCTTTTTTCATTGCACACTTTCGGAAATATTTCCTGGTTGTTCTTCTTTTCCAAACTAACTTCTGTGCAAATTCTATGTTTTGTCGAAGTAATTATTGTTCATTATTTCATTCCATTGCATTAGACGATGTTGAACGATAGCTGCATCAGTACTGAATCATCATTACTAGATGTAGCATTTAATGATAACTATTATGAAGCATGCTCTCATTTTGATTACAATTATTTTTACACACGTTATTGAAATCAGTCAGCTGCCCCAGCAGCGGTCATCCCTGATCTGAATGATTAATTTGTTCAGAAGTGATTAAAAGTTGGCAGTGCGATTTCTGAGAGTATTGTTAAAGTGCATACAATAACATCGATATGAAAAGTTGCATTCATCATGAATTCTTCTCAAATTCAGTTGATTCAGCAATTTCATTTCTTCATTTACTCGTAGCGTGATTTCAGCTCGATCTCCTTTCGGCTCGTATTATTATCGGTTTCGCTGGTCGTGTCATCCCTGCCGTATTCAGTTCGAGAGGAGCTCCCTAAATGAGATTTTCAAAGATTCAAATTCTAAACAATAGAGTGACAAGAATTCAGTTACATTTTCAATTCAACTTCATCGGTTCAGTTATGCTTCACTGAAGTGCTGTAGGATGAAAATTTTCGTTAAAGTCCTACAATTCATGGATGAAAACTGAAAAAAATTGAGACATAACATGAGCAGAATTGTACAAAAAAGTTCTGCTGATGTTTCGCTCGCTCGACTCATTCGGTAAAATTTTCATTCCCACTCGATACCGAACGAGTTAACGATAAGCAAACTGAAACGAATGCCGTAATCTTCAGTATCAATAGGACTCCGGAATGCGTCTCATTGTGGAAGGGATGTTGAGAATAAGGGTTTTAACTAACAGGTGTTTCATTGGTAGGTATAAATTGATACGTCCGAATGAGATAAGTAAGAGTCAGCTTGAATTCAAATACTGCGAATCTACGGCCCAGACAGTTTCTTGGTCCATAACCGAACGGTATGAATGCTAAACGATTGCGTTCTGTCACAGCTTCACGAGTGAATCTAAAACGTTAGAAGTATGTGAGTCGTTTGGATGAAGGTCATCACCATTCACTGGGATGCCGCAAGATAGAAAAGTGTAATTCTTTAGTCCTTCGACTGAACCAAGATGGTTGATGTCTTGGTCGATTCGGTACTGATCCATTACTTTGATCATCAATTGATCGATCCTCAACATAGGAGATTGACGATGAGAAAGAATCATATTTCGGCCAGTATCTGCTTCTGCTTTCGAATAGTCGTATAACTTTATGTTCTATTCAACTTCGGGATTTCTTACACTTCAATAAATGTATGCATGCCTTCGATGGCATGATTATTCCTCATAAGATATACGAACAAAAAATCACATTGATTCTCTACGATAGTGAGTGAGTTTATTGAAATGTCACATACCTCATTGGATCGAATTTATGAGGGTTCGGATAGATCTTCGGATTGTAATGAATAGCGAACACAGGAATTGAAACAATAGAATTCTGCTCAAAGTGAATGTGGTTGACTGTGATGGGCGATGAACATTCACGATCGAAACTGAACATTTTGTAAATTACATTGAACATCCTAAGAAATGCTCTTGTTAAAAACATCATGATGCGCGTTATAATTGCCTATCATGATCCATGAGCCATATTCGCCAACATTTCATGCTACAACCATAGAAAACAATTTTTAGCCTACAATTAGATAAGTTCATCAAGATCAACATCAGAAAAACTGTATGTTAGAGATACGTGATCAAGTGATCGCTAGTGACGGTAATTCACAGAAATCCATGTTGGTCGATTCTATTTACGACTGGAAGAAAATCTCGCAAGTGGGTCGACCGAACAAAACTGACCGTGGAGCAGGTGGATACATTCTCAGTGTTTCCATCATTATCTGTTCCAAATAATGCATATCTGACAAATCTTTATACGTCACAATTTCCTGCAGAACAATCCATTTGTTGATGATCAGTGAGCAGTTCGAATAAAAACGAGAATTTTGAACATTATACAAACTTTATGTCCGACAACTTCCATGATTTCGCGATATGCTTCCTCCTGAGCAGTTGGATTAGTAGTCAAGGCGAATAACGCGAATTGCAGCGTCGATGCACTCGTTTCATAGCCAGCGATTAAGAACAGGAAACACTGACCGGCCAATTCCATGTCACTTAGATGAATTTCTTTTGTTGTTGGTGACTGAAAATCTACGGATAATCTCAGAAAGAATGAAAATCTAATACAGAATTCATACGATATCATCATTACTACCCAAACCATAACCTCTACTTTAGTTCGCTATTCTAAAACATTCTCCGACGAATCCAACTGCCTTACATTTACTAGTGTAATCAGCATCCTTTTTCTTCCAA